AAGGTTCTATATTTCATATGTGTTTAGTAAATAATGCACCACTGTTTAGATGACAGTGCCATATAACATGAATGACTTGTTGTAGATTTAAATAGATAATATTAATATTGCTGTTTGGAGCTTTACCTGCTCTATGTTAGATATAATAAACATATTCCTGCAGCATGCGAAACCATCTGGGAAGATGACCTGTTTCCCGTTTGATGCCTTAAGCCATTTCAGAGCATGATGCTCTGTAAAGACTTCAAACTTTTGAGATGTGAGATACACTCTGAAAGTTCTAAAGCCTTCTAATCCAGCCAAACATTCTAACTGAGTGATGTCTTCTCAGCAGCATGAAGGGCACGGCCACCATAACAGATGACATGTTCTTGGCCAGAAGCATCTGGTTGACCTCAGATATACCCTAAGGCTGAGGTGGAAGCATCTGTTGTTAGAATGAATGGTTTCTTGGGATCAGAATATGTTAAGACATGGGCTGAATTTAGGCATCCTTTCAATTTGTTGAGTGCCTGCTGACACTCGTCTGACCAACTAAAGATGGCATCCTTTTGAAGCAAGTTATACAATGCGGTAGCAATTTGCAAGACCCAAGAAATGTCTGATATCATGGACATTTTTGGGAAAAGGGGTGCTTTTAACAACTTCTACCTTTGCCAAAGACATGGCCTAAATATGTTACATTTCAAGCTGCAAATCTACATTTGCTTGGTTTTGAGGTAAGACCAGCTTCTTTAAGTTTGCCAAAAACACATTTGAGATTATGCAAATGTTCTGCTGTAGATAATGGTATCATCCACATACATTAGGATGTACTTCCAATTCATAGCCTAAAAGGTGCTGTTGCATTTTTAAAACCGAAAGGAAGATGATTAAATTAAAAAACTACCTTGGTCACGCAAGAAACCCACGATCGTGGGTTCGTATCCTGGTTCGCCCGGATTAAGTTTCTAGATATGTCTACACCATACCTGTGCTCATGGGTTTGACCAAAGTGGTAAACGTCTGAGACCTGCATAACTTTGGTTTTTTTTCCAACATTAGGTGACACGCCCTGATATAACTGGAATATTGTTCAAAGCGGTATGAAACCCAAATGACTCGTTCACTCACTTTGGGCTTACCTTCCACATTGAAGGAAGTCGCCCACTCAGTTTCAATTTGTATACGCTTCTAATTTGTACTGCAGGCATATACACTGACGACCGAAAAAGCAACTTGATAAAAATCATTTATCGTATAAATGCAACAGAGACAGATGCAACTAAACTCTTGATTTAGTTCACTGATTTCCCTGTAAAATTGCTAAATGTAAAATGAATAAGTTTATCGGCAAAACAGAGAAAGGGCTGCACTGGAAGCCAGACATGATGACAGACCCGAGACAGGCAGACCACGTGACACCACACCCAAAGGAGATAATAAATTGCGAATATTTCATTTCAGGAACCGCTTCTTGACTGTGGCGCCATCAGCATCAACTGAAGTAGGACATGTTGCAGGGGCTTAACTGAATCCAGACGACTGCGCCACACAGGGTTGGGGGCCTATAGACCTTTCCCAGGAATTACGATGACACTTCAACATCTCTGTACTATGATGGCTGAACAGGAACTGTTTGGGTCATGTTTTCTGATACCTGCAGATTCCGTCTGTTCAGATCAGATATGTATCATCGTCGGGAATAATGCCATTCTCACAACACAGCGTTACATCCACGAGGTATGGCATCATGGTGTGCTTACTTTCCTACAACTGAACCCATGGATATGTTTCAATTTGATAACACAAGACTACATACATCACCCTCGCCCGTCACTTTCTGCAGGTAACCCGTGAAGATAGATCCGGTTATAGTAGGTTTCAGGAAGCCATGCTTGCAGTAAAAAGCAACTATGCTTGTTGTAAGAGGCGACTAACGGGATCAGGTGGTCAGGTCTGTTAATAATCGAGTCTGAACCAGACAATCCAGTGACTGATATCATGAGCATCGATCCACGCAATTGGGATCGATGACATGCTTCAACCAAGTCAGCGAGCCTGACCACCCATCCCGTTAGTCGCCTCTTACGACAAGCATAGTCGCCTTTTACGGCAAGCATGGGTTGCTGAAGACCTATTCTACCCCGAATCGCTGACTTGGTTGGTGCATGTCAACGTAGCCCAATTACGATGCTCATGATGTCAATCACTGGGTTGTCCGGTCCAGCCTCGATGATTTACATTCCGCCGTCCTATAGTTCGAATATTGCTGAGTGTGGCGTTAAACAACAAACAAACCAACAATAACCATGTAGAGGTATGTTCTGACGTGAGCTTCAGATTGACATTGCAACAACCCTGGAATAAGTTTTTGTTGTGTGAATGACATTGCAACAACCCTGGAATAAGTGTTTGTTGTGTGAATGACATTGCAACAACCCTGGAATAAGTGTTTGTTGTGTGAATGACATTGTAACAACCCTGGAATAAGTGTTTGTTGTGTGAATGTTTCATGTATCTGGGTTGGTTGAGATGATAAACAATAAACAAACAAATCCAGCTGTATTACAGGGGCCTGTATATGACCAGGCCGGGACCAGGCCAACCAGTGGTTGTTTCTGTGGGAATTGCCTGCTCCAGCGCATGCGCCGTTTTTAATGTTCACGTTACATTTGTAGGGCATGCAGGACACGCTTAACCTTTTCCGTGACACCTGGAGTCCATTCATATCATCTACCACTATTTTGCCTTTTACGCTCTATGGTATCTGTTTCGGCGGGTAATCGAGACTGATTATTCTCTGGCGTTGATGTTTTAGTAGTCCTGCACCATTACTGTGGAATATATTTATTTTATGAAGAAAAAAATAATAATCTAGAAACGCACACAAAAGCAAGTCTAGCCAGCTCTAGCTATCTCTATTCCACTTAGGAAATCAGCATAGGGAAATTTATTTTGTATTTTTAGAGTCAAGAAGGATACTGTGTAATATAAAATTTATTTCATAGACTAAATGTCAGTCTAACGTTTTAGATTTGCAATACTCTTATGGGATGAGATGCGGGCAGTTGGGATGGTGGTGCCAACACTCCAGCCGACGAATTACAGAATTCCAAAGAAATATCATTGAAACCAGAGGTACGGAGGCTCACCTTTATTTTTAGACATACAACTTTGTTACAATTTTATGTGTATATTTTATCAAATAAAATAAAATATTAGCATTACATCTTACAAAGTCACTTTAGTTCCCCCAGCATTGTTACTAATGGCATAGGGAGAGTGCAAAGCAAACAATATCAGAAGCATTTCTAAATATATGTTTTTAAACGTAATGCACGCAGTTGTTGCCTTTATACTTTCTGATATTTTCCATGAATCCTTTAGTTTGCGTTTCCTGGACAACATATTGGATTTAGGTTGAAATGCGGGTGTGTTTCCCTTCTTGTGGGGATTTCGAGTTAGATTAGGTTCCCAGGAACCTATGCATGTTTTGAAAGCTGACAATATGGATCGGTGGTCACTCGAAAATGGGCATGTGGTTGGTCAAATTGGTATTCAACCGACTTGAACACACTTCTTTCAGATGTGTGCCATGGCAGCAGCATTGTCCAACAACTCCAAATATCTGAAAGCATTATGTCGAAGAGTTTTGCAGGAGTAGAGGTTGCTGGCAGGCTGTATGCTTTGCAATACTGAGCTGACAGAGCAGTCAGTGAAGTACATTTACTGTGATGTTGCCAGTGACATGTAGAACATGTTCTGTGTAAATTAGACTGATCTGTTCATTTGTTCAGCAGCATATTTTTAATAGCGCAGACAAACTGATGATCCACAAAACAACATGACGAACTCACTCTGTGGTCATCTCGTTTCTGTGTCATATGACACATGGGTCGAGAAATGTTCGTCCTTATGTTTTTCAAGTGAGTTAGTGTTGTACAAAATTGAAAATTCAAATGTTTTGACATGGTAGTAATTGAACAAAATACATGGTATTAATTCCACTTCGTTATATATGTATTGGACCCAGCAATTTAGCACTCTTTGTACTGATATTTATGGAGCTTTGGAATCCAACACAAAAGAGGAATGGAGGTGTCTTCAGGTAGAGTCAAGTTTATTTCTTCCTGAGTTAGCATACTGGCCTTATATGTGGCATTATGTGGCATTATTTGATATATGGATCAAATAATTAATACAGTGATGCTCACATATAATGGTTATGGTATTTGAGGCCTGGTCAGTGGGAACAATAACAAACTCTTCATGTAGGGCAGCCGTACTTTGGATGACAGCGGACTTGGACAAAAAAGGGTTCATTACAATTTTGTTTCCACTTTGGCAGTTTGTGCATTCTACCAATGACATCATGCACTGGCTTTAATCCCACTCTGAAAGACATTCAACATGGTCACCTTCTCTATTGGACCATTGTTTGGCATACTCTTCTACAACATCCACAATTTTAAAGTTGTGATTGCAATTGATAGCAGACACTTAACGATATGTTTTCCCTTTTTGAATAGGGCAAGATTATTTATGAAGACATTTGTGAAATTAAGAACAGAAAAGTGCATCCACATCACAATATATGTATCACGTTGGAAACAGCGTGCCTTATTTAAATCACATATCTAAATATTCATTTTCTCCTTGATTCAACATAACTACAATTTCTACTTTCATTTCAATCAGAAGCACGAATAGAGGACGTAAAAACGGTTGGAAGCGCAACTGCAGTATGTAATCATAACACAAAAATCATTTCCTGTAGCAACAGTTTTGGAATGACATGGCCTGGGGACCAAGCGACTGACTTTCCGCTCTACAGGCAGGCGCTCTACCCACTATACCAAGGAGACGGTCTGTGGGAATCAACAAATAAAAGGCATGGTAAGTAATGCCCCCTGCGAAGTAGTCACCTGAATCCGTTTTAATGCCTCTTAGGGCATCGATTCTGTTCCAGAATCACAGGTTTTAGGACAATACATTGAAACAACTGACAGAAGAAAACATTGTTCAATATGCAAGTTTTATTTTTTTCCAATATGTTTAATATCTTACAAAATCTTAGGCATGCCATATTGGATTAATACACTGATCACAGCAGATGCAAGCATTACAAGAATCAACAGGTGACCAAATAATATTTGTGTATCCAAAAGCTTTTACATGAACTCTTTAACTCAACCATCTTGGATAGAAAGTGATCTTAGTCTATGACTTGTCCTATTGTCATAACTAAAACCTTTAGCACAAACAAACTCATGACAGTCTTAGTGCTAAGAAGTCATTGTGTTTACTAGGCCCAGGGTCCCTTTCACAAAGCAATCTTAGCGCTAAGGTGATCGCAACTCCCATACTTTAACATAAAATCATGACAGTCCAAGTGCCAAGACTATTTTGTGTTTACTTGGCTCAGGAAATTCACAAAGCAATCTTAGCACTAAGGTGATTGTAACTCCCATACCTTAACACAGAACCTGACAGCCCTAGTGTTTGTGTAACAAGGCCCAGGTTATATATAATGTATGTTCCAGTAGTATCTCTTTCGAACTGGACCAGAAAGACCTCCGAACATTCAAAATAAAATAGGACCGATCAATCAAAATTCTGATCACTTGTACAGAAAGTGTATAACACTTGTATAACAAGTCTGAGGCTTAAAACAAACATTTTGCCAGTAGTTGTTTTCTCAATATTCCTTATGTGTAATTTGAATTTTCTGCCACTTCCTACATGAGCTACTGCATATTTGATACCAGCAGAAGTAATGTTCCAGAAGAGCCTGGGATTGGATCTATGATCTCACAGAAGGCAATCTAGTTGGCTAAAATATATTGTTGAAACATGTCCATGACAAATCAAAATACTGATAGTAGGCATCAGTTCCACATTTAATGATATTTTGGCAACTATACATGTATATTTAAATATTTTTTAGGAATCAGCACTCTAATATAGTTGTACAAACACATTTAAAAAAGCATATTTTACAATATGTATCTGAAATCCGAACTTACTTAGGGCAACTTGCATAGGGGTATGTTTTGAAACCCTTGTGACAGCCATAGAGACCATTTCACACTGAATATGTTCGGTGGTGGGTGGCTCAACCATATGTAATTAATACATGAATAACAGACAAAAAAAACACCACAATTTCAAAATCTTAAGAAATCCCTTCTAAAAGATTTCGACAATATCATGGCACACATCACAAACACATGCAAAGGAAAGGCAATTGTTTTGGATGGTGTATTGGCAGACATTTGAAAATAGAAACACTACAAGACAGTTTAAGTAATATTCCTAGTGCCCTAAAAGCACTAATGAAACTGCATAACATGTTTCAGGGTTTATGGGTGGCCTTAAGGATCACCTGTTTTACAAACAACAGTCCAATCACATAACTTCCAGATATTGACACTTCAATTATTTAGAGACCGCCCTCATATCGCTGGAATATTGCCAAGTGCGGTGTTAAACAACAAGCACACACACAACGAATCGGATGTAGCTTGAGGTATCTTTGGTAAAAGCTTTCTTTGGCACAAAACATCAGGAAGTCTGTCTACCATAGACAGAAGCATAACACACAGGTAGATGAGTCTCCATCCCACTCACTTTCCAGTAAGCCTTCACAACAAGACCTGTTATAAATTTACTCCAGTATTCAAATGCCCTTGTTTTCACCATGACCCCTGTTATATCGTCTTGAGATCTAACCACAAGTACAATATCTAGATATGTGACACTTTTAATTTACCATGACACATGTTCAATGTTATCTAATGTCAAGGATGAGATAAAAAATGTATCATACATGAGTGAGATAAATACTTATCTCCCCAACACTGATGTTTCTGTCTCATCATTCCGACTGTCTCCTGACTCGATGACCCACAACGACTCATGTCCGCCTCATGTAAGGCCTCATGTCCTACATCCTGGCCTCCCATTGTAAGTGAGCGAGTTAACGTTTAAAGCTCCTTTCAAAGTTGTTTTCACTTATATCTAAGGATATTGCAGATTCCTACCGCTCAATGAAACCTAACATCACAAGCACAGTGCCAAATTTACAATATATTGTAGATGTTTTGCCACCTTCAATGAAACTAGACCATGACAATGTTGCTGACAAACCAATTATTATGATCAGAGCGATTATAAAATAATACACTGGAATTGAACATGTTATGTGCAAAGGTGTGTTGTTTAATGCCACACTCCAAGATTGACAACAAATCCACTGATGCACCTCTTACCACCAGCATAGGTTGCTGGGGACCATTTAGACCCAGTTTGAGCATGATAAGATTCAACTTCATGAACCATGGTAATGTATGTTATTATTGACCAATCACACAACCCGAAAAAAGTCAGTTAAAAAAGACACGTCTAATTATGCTAGTTCATATGTCATCAACATCAAACAGTTGTACCATGATACACAAAAATGGAAAGCCTCTCCCTAAAATTGTTTACACACATCTTCCACCAGTGTCATGGCTAACCTGGTCTTGTTGCAGAATCAGTTATCAAAGCCATATTAATGAAGTACATACATAAAAGATACAAGGCTTCATTCACCAACAATTCATACACCGGGAATATTCAACTGTACATTCAACAGGAATATCTGACTGTACATTATCAATGGACACAAACAACATTTAGCACAATAATGGAGTAACAAAAGATACGTATGTACAAATGCCCTCTACATCTGTATTTGAGTCATTTGAGGTGATGCAGCTGCCCATCAAGGTTGCAGATAGACTGACAATCAAGGCGACAAACTACATGACTATCAGAATCACAACTATATAGTTCTACTGAACGTCAGACATCGTCAAACATTGAACTGACAGAAAGGACACCTTGAATTATATGGTGTGACATGTCATGTGTTGTTTCACCCACTGTTGAAGTTGTTACACCTCAGTTGTCATTTCTGTGTCAAAGCTTAATCATCAATATATACTTTTGTACTTTTACCCAAGAGAATGGAATAAATAGTATATCACAGAGTTAATGCAATGTTCAATAATGTTTAATCATAATTATGTGAACAAGGACATTGATTCTTTTCCATTTGCATCAGGATCAAATTTGTTTCCAGTTGGACAATGACAAACAGTATTGAACCGACTCAACAGCAAAAATAGATTTCTCTAAATCCACAAGAACAAAATCTGCATCAAAAATTTGTTTCTGATTAAATTTCTTAATGAACTTATTTCTCAAAAGAATTGAAAATTAATCACTTTACAATTGACAATAGTTTGACATTAAGATTAATTGAACTTCACTGTGGTAAAAAAACAAAAAATATTGGACATTTAGGACCATGAACCTGAGTAAAGATTGTTTGGTGTGCTGTCCTTAAAGCAGGACATGATTGTCTACATAGAACTCTGGCACATTCTAGCTGTATTTACAGCAAAACTCTATCAAAGGGAAAACTGGAAAGATTATCACATTATACATAAAATCAAATCTTTGTGACATGCTTGGAAATAGTTAAAAAAATGTATACCAACTAACAATTGACAAGGGCTGCAATGGTTGACTGAGGTACCAGTGTACTGCGATGCAAGTGTCCCGATACAGGTATTGTGAGGACGTGAGGATACACAAATATATGTGTACACATTAGGCAGTCAGGAGGAAACAAACAAAGAAACACAATTTTATGAAGCATTCTCAAGCCAATGTTGGTTCAATTGATCCGGTCTTACTATGAATGGGATGTTTTTTTACCATTTTCATTTAAATCAGACTTTTTGTTCCGATACGATAGATCTTCCTCTCCATGAAGATCTGAGGACACTTCCACAGATCACATCAGGTGAACTTTCTCATCAACCAATAAATATTGAGGCTTCAAAATCCACGGTATGTGAGGCAGACACATTCACTAAAGCTTCTCTACTTTGATGAAAACAGCTCGAATACAGATCAAGTTTACATGTATCATTTCATATCCCTACTTACTAAGTGCACCGTTACAGCCCTACTGGCAAAGTGCACCGTCACAGCCCTACTGACAAAGTGCACCGTCACAGCCCTACTTACAAAGTGTAATGTTACAGCCCTACTGACAAAGTGCACCGTCACAGCCCTACTTACAAAGTGCACTGTTACAGCCCTACTGACAAAGTGCACTGTCACAGCCCTACTGACAAAGTGCACTGTCACACCCCTACTTACAAAGTGCACTGTCACAGCCCTACTGACAAAGTGCACTGTTACAGCCCTACTTACAAAGTGCACTGTTACAGCCCTACTGACAAAGTGCATTGTTACAGCCCTACTGACAAAGTGCACCATAACAGCCCTACTGACAAAGTGCAACGTTACCGCCCTACTGACAAAGTGCACCGTCACAGCCCTACTTACAAAGTGCACCGTTACAGCCCTACTGACAAAGTGAACTGTTACAGCCCTACTGACAAAGTGCACCGTCACAGCCCTACTTACAAAGTGCACCGTTACAGCCCTACTTACAAAGTGCACCGTCACAGCCCTACTTACAAAGTGCACTGTTACAGCCCTACTGACAAAGTGCACCGTCACAGCCCTACTTACAAAGTGTAATGTGAAAGCCCTAATGACAAAGTGCACCGTTACAGCCCTACTGACAAAGTGCACTGTTACAGCCCTACTGACAAAGTGCACCGTTACAGCCCTACTTACAAAGTGCACTGTTACAGCCCTACTGACAAAGTGCACTGTTACAGCCATACTGACAAAGTGCACCGTTACAGCCCTACTGACAAAGTGCACTGTCACAGCCCTACTGACAAAGTGCACCGTTACAGCCCTACTGACAAAGTGCACTGTTACAGCCCTACTGTCAAAGTGCACAGTTACAGCCCTACTGACAAAGTGCACTGTCACAGCCCTACTGACAAAGTGCACCGTTACAGCCCTACTGACAAAGTGCACTGTTACAGCCCTACTGTCAAAGTGCACAGTTACAGCCCTACTGACAAAGTGCACCGTCACAGCCCTACTGACAAAGTGCACTGTTACAGCCCTACTGACAAAGTGCACTGTCACAGCCCTACTGACAAAGTGCACCGTTACAGCCCTACTGACAAAGTGCATCATTACAACTTCAGTGACAGTCCTTATGCAAGATGTACCGTCACAGCCATCATGTAAGAAGTACCATTACAGCCCTTATGTAAAGTACCAGTCATTAACATTCTTTGTAAAAACTATAGGTCAACATTAAAATACAGAAAACAAATGCATACATAAACATCTTTGGCAGTGTTCGAAATCAATGGTCACTTTTCAGCAGGGGAGTGAGTTGGGGTTAACGTTGCTTTGGACAGTAGAGGCAGCACATTTTATGGGAGGAGAACCTGTGACAAAATGACATTCACCAGTTTGGTAAACACTGCAGAGATAAGGTACTGACAAAGGATCATTCCTAATCAGCCAAAATGTATCCCATCCATCATAACGGAATTCCATTCAACAGGGGGTCTGATTTTTTCAGAACAGTTTCTAAAAGAAGTCCTTGATTGGCATTTAGAAGTGGAAGACCTTGAACCCTTGACACTCTTATGGATGACACCTTATTACTTATAGACTTTTCTAACAAATTGTCAGGATGTCCTTATTGGAGCAGGGGGCAAAATAAGGCAAATGTAGAATGTCAGTTTATTTACTGATGAATCAGCACTTTGTGGGTTTGGTCATACAACAGAAATTCAAGAAAGTTCCGGCTACTTCACAATCAAAAAACATTATTACCACTTCATTTGCATAGCCATAAGTTATAGATGCCAATGAGGAAAGACTGTCAACTTAAAATTGTTTGTTCAAAGGCAGGAAAGAATGTGATAAGGCTTATCAAATGGAATATTACATTTCAACCACTACAGATCACGCAGTCAAAATGATGTGTATGGTAGTATCAACAAGCAAAACATACAGATCAACTAAATTCAATGCATAGTTACTCAGTGACTAGAAGCTTTTTCTTTCATACATTACACAAGTTACTTTTGCACTTACACCGGTGTTGGTAACATGATTTCAAGACTGTTTGATTTGATTAATGACTCAAAAATGAACTTGTACAAATTAACTGATTTAATAGTAAGAACACTAGAGAGTATGAGAGCTAATCCATAAAGTTGGCAATGTTAATTATTATGCTATCACTTGACAGAATACAATAAACATTTGCTCTGTAGTCGATTAACACTGGCCATCTTAATCTTCTAAGGGTCGAGTGGATTAAAACATGAAGCACAAAAGTAACTTCAGGCAGGGATCAACAAATGTAATTTTGGCCAGGTAGCCAACAGAACCAGTTCCACATAAAACATCCTGGTCCCACAAACATATGCCAAATAATTCCAAATTATTACCAGCTCACAAACGGTTTACCTCTTAAAACTCCAAAGGAAAACAAAATAAGGAGACTGACATTTAATATTCTCCCTTCTAACCAGCAGAACCACCTCATTTTGAAATCAATGTCCCGACTTAGATTTACTGGCAAGTTTCAAGTGGACAAGATTAGTTGTTGAATACTGATAGCACTATTAGTCATGCAAGCATTTCCATAATTATCTAAAATATGCTCCAACACAAACAGCACTATTCCTTCCATCATCAGAAACTTCACAGTCAAGATCCTTTTGAAATAACTTCTTAGTAGTGCTGAACTCAAACCTTGTAATGAGGTCTCTCAGCCATGATCCAACACAAATTTATGGTTATCACAATAAACAAGTACTGATAAAGCAGGTGAACTGATCCTCGATTTGTGGAGCAATCTAAATTATGTTTTGATTGTCCTGACAATGACAGTTCACACTTTCAATTTTCCTCAATAAGTTCTTGTCAAACACAAAAGTACATTCTTGAGGTTTTGACACCAAACACAAACAAAAGTATACACATAAACTACTTAACAGTTGATTAAGCATGTTCACCTTAAGTATTGAACTCAGAAAATTGTAAAAACAATTTTAATTGTGGCGGCAGAGGAAGAAGTTCAATTTTTTCATCGATTATTGGATGCACATTTTGTCGAATGCTGACACGACAACACTCCTTCAAGGATCTCACTGGGTAGAAGAAACAGTCATCAATCCATTCCGATATGCTGTCATAGCTGCTCATGACACGCAGGTTGTGCCTCTTTACCTGCAGCGCATCAACCTGTGGTCTAAAACCTGCCGCAAACAACAGACGCCAAGCAACCAGCTCTTTACTCTTGGGACCGACAATATCTGGATTTTCAAGGAAAGATTTTGACAATGTCATTGAAACAAGCTCCGTCATTTCCTCGTCTGTGACTTTTGCGCCGTATGAAAGCAGAAGGCGAATTTTCTCAACAGAATTGTGCACATAAGCAAAAATTAAAGGTTTTTGCTTTTTCCATCCACCACCCTTATTGACATCTGCTCCCCGATCTAGCAGAAGTCTTACAACTTTTGGATCCACATTGGAGGAAGAACAGGCACAACCAAGAGGGGATCTTTGATTGTCATCCTGCATATTGACATCCATTCCCAAGTCAAGCAACTCAATAACTAAGTCAACAGCAGAAAACTGAACAGCCGTAGGCAAGAAGGTAGCTTCACAAGGATTGGCCCCAGCTTGTAATAACAGTTTGGTTATCTCCACTGGAGGGAAACTGTTCGGCTTGAAGTCTTCTTTACCTCCCAACTCACATCTGCCTTTCCAGAAGAAGCGGAACTCAGCATTACGGCAGGACACTTTCAGTGGTGTGTCGCCCTCCATCGTGGAAACATTCACATCACATCCTTCCCCTATCAGCCTCTGAACAATCTTCACATCGTCCGACTGACATGCATAGAACAGAGACGTACACTCCATGTTATCCTTCTTGTCAATGTTGATGTTCTGTGCAGACTGCAACAACACCTCCAGAATATCAAACAGTTCTGGCTTCCTTTCTTCAACACTGCATGTGTGATGCAGAGCTGTCTTCCCATCGGGGCCAGTCAGGTTCATGTCTGCCCCTGCACAGACCAGCAAATGGACAAATTCCACGTAGCCAAGAGAGCTTGCAAGGCTGAGTGGAGTTATCTGCTCCTTCTCCCATACTTTGTTGACATCTGGCTTGGTGTCCAGCCAGTCCCGGACAGCCTCTATCTCGTTGTTCTTGATGGACATGCACAATTTGTGCAGTCCCTCATCACTGGTGCTGTCAGCCATTGTTGCAGGTTTAACACATCAATCACAAGTCATAGCAAATCTGCATCTGAAATTATAACATTAAGACATTCAACATAGGAAGAAGGAGAAACACGTTTTGCATAAAAAATAGAAACACAAGGCACTGTAGCTCACCTGCAAAGGGTGAGACCCACTACTTACTACACAGGCACCAAATTTCATTCCATTTTGAAAAAATTGCCCCAGAAGAAGAATCTTTTTTCAAAATGGCTGCTATGGCATGATTCAACATTTTCTGTAGCATGCTATGAATGCAAATTAACATGATGAAAGTTCTCCTGTCATAAATATAAGTTTGTTTGTTGCATGATGCTGCTCTCAGCAATACTTCCGCTATATAACTGCAGCATCTAAATAATTGGAATATGAACTTGAATATGTGTGATGTTAAACTGGTGTGTTTCACTATCAGGACAAGCACATTCTAACCCGGGATCACCAAAAGTGCTCCATCCCTATCACAGAAGTGTATTGAGAGCCCCTCCTGTTCCACCAAATCCCAGACTGAAACTGTACATGCTGTGCTGAAACTGATGCAAATGAAAACAGGAAACATCCGACCATAAGAAAGGATTTACACAGGCAACACAAGGACTGTTGGAACTGGCCAGTGTTTCACAACTAGCAGTCCTGCCTCTGAATAGTGCAAAACCATGACATGGTAACAAATGTAGCTGTTTCTTTCAAGTTCACACATAAAGAACCATTGTTCGCTTGTCCCACATAAGACCAACCAGTGTCATGATGAATGCCAACCAGGGTGAAGAACAGGCCTCAGTATCCTACTCAGAGTCCATGAGTGCACATAAAAAATGCCTGGACACCTGAGCATATGAACTCAATAATCAACAATAGAAACTAACAGTTTTATGCCACTAGTCCTTATAATAATAACATATAGCAAAACCCTTAAATAAAGACATATTTCTACTTTTCCTTATGATACCTTAACTATTGGGCAGCTTGGCAAGGACTACAGAATAAGTTCCAGTTTCTAAAGCTGAAATGATTCATACCAAGTACAGTCACAGATGAATACAGCGATTCCATGATCATGGAATGACTTGTAGAAAATTGCAGAAAAATTGGGGAATTTGCCCCATTCTAGCTTTTCGATCATATTTTGCACATTAAATTGTGATTCAAACATATAGGCTGGTACATGTCAGCAATGGACTTCAGCACATGAAAACAGGATGAATCATAACAATACTAGCAACCAGTGGATGTCAGATAGTAAAAACATCTTGTACCTGACAGGGTAACTACAGACAAACACTTACATGTTCTCAAAACATGTACCGTAGAATACAGCCATACCTAATTTAGGATATGTATTTTCACAAAGAGTTAGTTCAATGCCTTATCTGCTGTCAGTATCTTTAGCCACAGCGTAAACACAGTATTCCTATCCCACTGTGATTGTTATTATTGCAATAATAATTTGTTTCATTTTAATAGAGAATTGTCAAGCTTTTCATATGATAAGTGTGATTACTTGTGAAAGTTTTTGGGAAATTGACTGTCAGCATGGTCAGTTTTACCAGAAATAAGTAACATGAAATGTGATAACAAACTTGGTCAATACAAATTTCAAATTTATATGCAGATTTTTAAAAATTATCATGTGTATTTTCTTGTAAACTAAGCCAGAAACAGCAATCAGCCGTACACTTTTCTCACAATCTACCGCTGATTATGTTAAACATTACCCAATAATATAACTTTAAAGAATTTTGATGATGGGAAGTGAGTGAGTGAGTATGGTTTTACGCCGCTTTTAGCAATATTCCAGCAATATCACAGCGGGGGACACCAGAAATGGGCTTCATACATTGTACCCATGTCAGGAATCGAACCCAGGTTCTCGACATGAAGAGCTAACGCTTTAACCACTGGGCTACCCGACCACCCAAATGATGGGAAGAATTGTACCTGAAACTATTATTTTATCAGGAATAATATATTCCAATATTGTGTTATTTTAGTTGCAGCTTTACTTTATAATAAACCATAAGCATAGCACTAACTTTGGTACAGCTGATCACTATTGACGGATATATTTTACGTATGGAGCAATATGGAACCAGTCACCGTCAAGGGGTTCGCGCTCGCAAAATCTCTATGTTGTCATAATTATAACAGTCAAACTACAACAACGATTACTCTTAACAAGTCAAAGTATGGCATTTATGATAACTGTATCCATTCTCTGTCAACAAAAGTTTGTTTCAATCACTTCACACACGATTTTGCCGAAATTAATGTTAACAATATTGAATGAATTCTTTAGTAAAATGATTAAAATAGGTTACAAACATAGCTCCAGATATGCATTGGACACCTTTTGTAACCAAACAGATTAATTACGTGATTAATTTGTGTACCTCAGTCGGTATTTGTTGACATGCTATTTCTCGTGTTACCATGGTTACATGTCCACTGAAATGTCTTTGCATTGAGGAAAAAACATGAATACTCATTATGGCATGTACACTGCACACCCATTTTACACAGCTGTTTTAGAAAAAAAGTGTGCACTATACTCAAGAAAATATGCTGCTTGAAATCAGAATATAATTTTGGGGAAATACATCTATAAATGAATGTTAGACCATACATGTATGTTGTGATGCATATATGATACGTTTTTTAAATTATCCCCCAACATATCTTGAGCCCTGTGTCAGATTATCCCAACTGCATAAATCACTGTTCAATTCAGGTCCAGACTGCCGTCATATTGCTGGAATATTGCGGAGTGCGGCGCAAAACAACAAACAAACTACACTAAGCATGCTAAATAATTTTCAGGTTTCTCATGAGCCCTCAGCTAAATTTGCTGCCCACTTTTTACCCTCTTATTGTTTCTCTTTTGAACCAGATTCAGACTTCTTGTGCACAGCATTCCATTGAGCATCATATTCATGGTCTCATTAGCATCAGGATCATCTGTTTCTTCATGTTTTGAGCCACAGTGGGCTACAATGTCACTTTGAACATATTTAGAATGACATTTTCTTTGAAATATTTGAAACATAAAAGAAATAAAATCCCCTCTTCCTACCTTGTCAGTTGTCAAATGTAAATAGAAACAAAAAATAGGTTTGTTTTAGTTGGCCCTAATTTTAAGAAAACATTCTTGAAGTCTTGATTGAAACCTCGGTTTCTTTCAATCAGAAAATGCGGTACTGAGAATATGAACATTGGGCAGGGAATTTATTGCAATATGAGGAACTCTAACCTGAATAAACCGGAACAGGGACATTATTTAAAAACAAAACTCGTTAAAAAAGCAAATAATTGTGGCACTGACAAACTATACTTCAGTTGGTAATCACCCCTCCATCTCCCGCGACCTTCTATCCGAACCCGCCTTGGTCGAAGCTGACATCGGAAAAAATCCCCGATCAGCTGACGACTTTCCTTGGCCAAAAAACAACGTCCTACCGGCAATCCGACTCTGACAGCTTCAGATATCTACGGCCTCGATAATGATGCACGATATAACGTATATATAATGAGATTCTCTTGATATCTACTGCACATACTTACAGAATCCGTGCGCCGGTCCTATGCGATCCATTACTATCACAGAAGTGTCACACTCAACCAGATAGTAAATTCGGTCAGCGTTTCCAGCTCGAACCGAGGTCATTTAGAGTTATCGCACTCACGGTCACAACACGTGCGCAACCGTTTCGCCCAATCAAATCGTTTCAACTTACCAACAGTCAATCTTACGCTGTTTACGTTCATATTAGCGACATACTTGAAACATGTCATTTGAAGCAGAACTAGCTGTTTCTAGACAGGGTTGTCTTGTTTACCAATTTAGAAGGAATGCACCACAAAATATTAACTCACCGATTGAAACATTGGTAGCAGATGTCGTACTTATCGAGACCCGCAGCTATTCACGTGCTGCACCACAACATCACAGTACCTGACCACGTTCACTCCGCCTGACAGTGGCGTGCATTTGCTCTTTAAGGAAATACTTTGTGGCACTGAAAGCGTGCTTTTTGTCCAGAATTAACACAAACCAAGGTGATTTTGTTTTGTTATAAACAAAATCACAACTGTTACTTTCGCATGTACTTCCGCGGATGAATACCGGAGGAAATTATATATAGGCTACCGTATATGTTTGAGGACACATGCACTGAATGGTGATGGTTGTGCATGCGTTCACCGACTTATTTACAGATAAAAAAATATATTGTAAATCATGTAATTTTTATGTGCAAATGTTGGTGGTGGTGTTAGGGCGGGTTACGTATGAGGACCATTTGTTGTACAGCTGTTGAATAGTTATGTTGTGGCACAGGATGCATGTATATATACTCACCGCTAGACTAACATTTAGTCTCTGAAATGAACATATCGTACATAAAAAAAACAGTTGTTCAGTTATCTTAATAAAAATATAATAAAAAGGAGCCCAGTGACTCTCTTCATTTTCAGATACTGCAGTGATCTAGACTTGCCAAACATTATAGACTTGCATGGGCTATTTTTGATATATATATATTTGTATCAGGGTCTGTAAGACAGACTAACTCACCGCGCATATGCCATGCATGTAGCCTATATACCCATATACTCTGTAAACAAGTGGCGGGTTTCAAAAACCGACATTTATTTAACATCTGCTTCAGGCTCGTGAATAATGAAAGCAAATTAAGTAATCTATTTTTAGACGATGGAGAATAACAACAACTGAGATTGTCTTAAAAAACGTATAAGAAAGAATCCCGTTCTGACATACGTAATTAATCCGATTTGAGAGACAAATATATATATATCCCGCTTCCGTGCAAATAAATGCGAAGTAACATTCAACAGATTTTAGATCGGAAACTTGGTTATTAAAATCAAATTTTATCCCATCGACATAGCAGTATTCATAACTACAAATGCACCCTATAGGGTTGGTGGGGTAGCCCAGTGGTTAAATCGGTCGTTCGTTACGCCGAAGACCTGGGTTCGATTCCCCACATGGGTACTATGTGTGAAGCCCATTTCTTTTAGTTACTTTTCTGTTAGTTACCACCTTCTAAAACGTCAATCAAACATACAATATCAGTGTCAAGCTAAAATCAAAACACATTTCCCCAGTATTATGTCAGGCTCGCTGACTTGGTTTGATGCATGTCATCGTATCCCAATGGCGTCGATCAATGCTCATGATGTAAATCACTGGATTGTCCATACTCGATTATTTACAGACCGCCGTCATATAGCTGGAATATTGCAGAGTGCGGCGTTAAAAAACAGACAAATAAACAAAACATTACAACCAGTGTCTTTCCATAGCCTTAGTCTCTGAATTTTGAAAGAAACTCCATTAAAATTGAAAAGCAGGCCCAGTGAAATGGAAAATATAGACTTGCTTCATTTATAGCTAGAGTGAGTGAGTGAGTAAGTTATGTTTAACGCCGCTTTCAACACTATTCCAGTTATATCACGGCGTGTAAACCCATTGCACATTTGTGACTAAGAACATGCATGGCGGTGCACATGGCAAACAAAACATGATGACGAGGACCTCAGCGGCTGCAGCAGGCAACAGTTACGAGAATGCAAAACCCTGTATTCATGATGGATGGCTTGGCGGATTTCGAGGAGGACTGGGGTTGTTAAATTCGACGGGTGTCGTCAAGCGTCTTATTGACTCTCAAACCCAGAATCCAAATACAAACAAAATATATTGTCGGTCAAAAATATGTAATGGATACCATTGTTTGTAGTGTACCTTATAAACATTACATTGTTGTACAGTTACCATAATGTATCTTAGAGCAATGATGTATATCCCATATGTTATTCCAGAGTTATTCCATATGATCTGCTCACCATGGGGTTGTAATCCAGACCAGGATGTCATTGGTGCAAGTGTCAGATCCATGAAGTTGGCATTAGAATTACATGAACGTGTACTTATCAGAGCACAACCCCACACAAACTGAAATGTCAACCAGCTCGAGTCGCTTCGTGGTTAGCACTCGAAGGCGGCCAGGTTGATGGCACCCTTACGTGATTTGTTCTCCGGTGGATAATTTCGGCCAGTAAGTCAAGGTCCTACAAGTGTTACGCTTTTTTATAACAGACTCTGATCACATTATAAGTCGGCCAGGAGTAACATTGTTGATGCGACGTCAGGACCACATTGCTCCTACGAGATTAGGCTCGCGCACGTGTGGTGTGTTTGAGACACCCCAGACGTTCGGTGCAATATATGGAACACGCTCCCCGAAGGTTCCCGAAATACATGTATGTTGATATTTGGCAGTGGTGCACTTCTTGGTTTTGAGTTAGTGACACACAGAGTTTGTGTGTAGACAGAGATGCAGAGAAGCTATTTGTTTATAAAGTATGTATAACGTTTCGAAACGTGAATAAAGACGGATATATGGAAACATAACGATGTTGTTATAGGCTTTGCGAAGATATGTTTACACGTTTAACTCGGGTGTTTTTATGCAGGAAAGATATTGCGTCCCAGAAAAGCTACGATTTGTGCTTCAGTTTTGGAATATAAAAGTTGTTGGTAAATATCTGAAGGGCAAAACGAAACACAGGGAAACCTTTATTTAAGCAACAGAATCCTGTACAGGACGAACTATCGTCTGTTAAGGACAAGGTTTGTTACTACTGGTAACTCGACATATATGCTACTCAAAAGAACTTACAGAACACCCAATATTTCATATTACTATGGTTAATTTCTCATTGCATTGGCAGATTAACTTAAGTAATATTAAAGAATCGGACGTTCTTTAATTTCCTTCGAGTAGTATATATCAATTCGATGATATTCGCAATGATTCGAATTAACAAGGTCAAGGACTGCCATGTTCAAATGTTAGAAACACGATTCCTCCCGGAACCTCAAATCATTTCAGCCTTCTTTTTGCAGTCATAACTTTTGGAAAGAAGAACATCAAGTTGTATTTGAACACATCTCAAAACATGTTTCACGTTTCTTATATATTGCAAGCCTCAGCTGTGCCAAAAGGGGTCTGATCAATGGCGTCATTTTACGATAAAACATTCTTTGGAAGTAACAGCTGGTTCAGATTATAACTGGGGCGTTGGGGTAGCCCAGTGGTTAAAGCGTTCGCTCGTCACGCTGATTCCCCACATGCGTACAATGTGCAAAGCCCATTTCTGGTGTCCCCCACCTTGACATTGCTGTAATATTGCTAAAAGGGGCGTAAAACCATACTCACCCACTCACATTATAACTGCAGTCTCTTCTGCAGCATGATCTTGTTGCGTCAAATATAAACTGCATGGCACTTGACATCCATTACGGACAAGAAGCATGGATGGAGTTTGCCTGCACGCGACACATGTCAGAGGCTATCGGGGAGACTTTACACTTCAATATTCTCCAAAACAGAAAGAAACGCGTATCTTGCAATCACGAGATTCCTTTAAAGCGATACGTGCGACGTTTATGTTTGGAAGATTACAAAGTTAAACAGAGGCCAAACGTTATCTCAAGCACGGCAGTCCATGTACCGTGTGATATGGCTCGACAATAAGGGTGGCGGCCATGTGCATTTCTTGTCATATATACTTTGATTGGTTGCAGCTATATTGTTTTATGAGTAAGCGCTGAAAACATACATATTATCACCATACTATCAATGGTCGCAAAAAACAACTGGGCACGACCACCCACCCACCCCTGCCTTAATAAAGTGCATATACATGTATAATGATCTTATCATTCGATTACATATATCGAGGGCTCCCTCACACGCCGCCGCGATTTTGAATGACAAGTTATGCCGAACTCTCGTTCAGAAGAGGCATTTTGATTGGTTGTTAATAGGCTCAGGAGCAAAAAAAATTCTGTGCTAAGTTTAGGATAATGATGTCACTTCCCAAAACGAACCTTTGCTGGCGAATAAGTCAATTAATTGTCTGGTCCCCGTGGGGACCCGGATGAGAATGTGTTCCCAACACCCCATTGGAGGTCGTAAGTTGCGGCTAAATTAAGCAACATGTTTGCTGTGGCTTGAGCCCCAGTGTCAGTGGAGGACCGGATCTTGGTGGTTCAGGGCACTGCTCAAATCCATGGCAGGACTTGGAGTAGTGTTTTTTTTGCCCAATACACCACATCGACCTTTACTTCACCAAGATGATGGTAGCGTGGGCCCACCTCGACCTTTACTTCACCAAGATGATGGTAGCGTGGGCCCACCTCGACCCTTACTTCACCTAGATAGGTGGTAGGGTGGGCCCACTTCGACCCTTACTTCACCTAGATGGGTGGTAGCGTGGGCCCACCTCGACCCTTACTTCACCTAGATGGGTGGTAGCGTGGGCCCACCTCGACCCTTACTTCACCTAGATGGGTGGTAGGGTGGGCCCACCTCGACCCTTACTTCACCTAGATGGGTGGTAGCGTGGGCCCACCTCGACCCTTACTTCACCAAGATAGGTGGTATAGCGTTGGCCCACCTCGACCCTTACTTCACCAAGATGGGTGGTATAGCGTCGACCCACCTCGACCCTTACTTCACCAAGATGGGTGGTAGCGTGGGCCCACCTCGACCCTTACTTCACCAAGATGGGTGGTATAGCGTGGGCCTACCTCGACCCTTACTTCACCAAGATGGGTGGTAGCGTGGGCCCACCTCGACCCTTACTTCACCAAGATGGGTGGTATAGCGTCGACCCACCTCGACCCTTACTTCACCAAGATGGGTGGTAGCGTGGGCCCACCTCGACCCTTACTTCACCAAGATGGGTGTTATAGCGTTGGCCCACCTCGACCCTTACTTCACCTAGATGGGTGGTAGCGTGGGCCCACCTCGACCCTTACTTCACCAAGATGGGTGGTATAGCGTCGACCCACCTCGACCCTTACTTCACCAAGATGGGTGGTAGCGTCGGTGGGCCCACCTCGACCCTTACTTCACCAAGATGGGTGGTATAGCGTCGACCCACCTCGACCCTTACTTCACCAAGATGGGTGGTAGCGTGGGCCCACCTCGACCTTTACTTCACCAAGATTGGTGGTATAGCGTGGGCCCACCTCGACCCTTACTTCACCAAGATGGGTGGTATAGCGTTGGCCCACCTCGACCCTTACTTCACCAAGATGGGTGGTAGGATGGGCCCACTTCGACCCTTACTTCACCAAGATGGGTAGTAGGGTGGGCCCACCTCGACCCTTACTTCGCCAAGATGGGTAGTAGGATGGGCCCACCTCGACCCTTACTTCACCTAGATGGGTGGTAGCGTGGGCCCACCTCGACCCTTACTTCACCAAGATGGATGGTAGGATGGTCCCACTTCGACCCTTACTTCACCAAGATGGGTAGTAGGGTGGGCCCACCTCGACCCTTACTTCACCTAGATGGGTGGTAGCGTGGGCCCACCTCGACCCTTACTTCACCAAGATGGATGGTAGGATGGGCCCACCTCGACCCTTACTTCAACTAGATGGGTCTTAGGATGGTCCCACTTCGACCCCTTACTTCACTAAGATGAGTAGTAGGGTGGGCTCACTTCGACCCTTACTTCACCAAGATGGATGGTAGGATGGGCCCACTTCGACCCTTACTTCACCAAGATGGGTAGAAGGGTGGGCCCACCTCGACCCTTACTTCACCAAGATGATGGTAGGATGGTCCCACTTCGACCCTTACTTCACCAAGATGGGTGGTAGCGTGGGCCCACCTCGACCTTTACTTCACCAAGATTGGTGGTATAGCGTGGGCCCACCTCGACCCTTACTTCACCAAGATGGGTGGTATAGCGTTGGCCCACCTCGACCCTTACTTCACCAAGATGGGTGGTAGGATGGGCCCACTTCGACCCTTACTTCACCAAGATGGGTAGTAGGGTGGGCCCACCTCGACCCTTACTTCGCCAAGATGGGTAGTAGGATGGGCCCACCTCGACCCTTACTTCACCTAGATGGGTGGTAGCGTGGGCCCACCTCGACCCTTACTTCACCAAGATGGATGGTAGGATGGTCCCACTTCGACCCTTACTTCACCAAGATGGGTAGTAGGGTGGGCCCACCTCGACCCTTACTTCACCTAGATGGGTGGTAGCGTGGGCCCACCTCGACCCTTACTTCACCAAGATGGATGGTAGGATGGGCCCACCTCGACCCTTACTTCAACTAGATGGGTCTTAGGATGGGCTCACCTCGACCCTTACTTCACCAAGATGGATGGTAGGATGGTCCGCCTCGACCCTTACTTCACCAAGATGGGTGGTAGCGTGGGCCCACCTCGACCTTTACTTCACCAAGATGGGTGGTATAGCGTGGGCCCACCTCGACCTTTACTTCACCAAGATGGGTTGTAGCGTGGGCCCACCTCGACCTTTACTTCACCAAGATGGGTCTTAGGATCGTCCCACTTCGTCCCTTACTTCACCAAGATGGGTGGTAGCGTGGGCCCACCTCGACCCTTACTTCACCAAGATGATGGTAGCGTGGGCCCAACTCGACCCTTACTTCACCAAGATGATGGTAGCGTGGGCCCACCTCGACCTTTACTTCACCAAGATGGGTGGTAGCTTGGGCCCACCTCGACCCTTACTTCACCTAGATGGGTGGTAGCGTGGGCCCACCTCGACCTTTACTTCACCAAGATGGTCGGTAGCGTGGGCCCACCTCGACCTTTACTTCACCAAGATGATGGTAGCGTGGGCCCACCTCGACTTTTACTTCACCAAGATGGGTGGTAGCGTGGGCCCACCTCGACCTTTACTTCACCAAGATGGGTGGTAGCTTGGGCCCACCTCGACCTTTACTTCACCAAGATGGGTGGTATAGCGTGGGCCCACCTCGACCCTTACTTCACCAAGATGGGTGGTATAGCGTGGGCCCACCTCGACCCTTACTTCACCAAGATGGGTGGTATAGCGTGGGCCCACCTCGATCCTTACTTCACCAAGATGGGTGGTAGCGTTGGCCCACCTCGACCCTTACTTCACCAAGATGGATGGTAGGATGGGCCCACCTCGAC